AGGGTAAGGCAAACGGAAGGGAAGAAGCTCTTGGCCATTGGAACGTGGCCAGAGGGAAAGCCAGCCTCAGCAATCTGTCCCAGTTCCCTTTGTCGCTGCTAACAGGAGCTGCCCCAGCCTGGGTACACACCCAGTTCCGCCGTGTCCGACTCCACGGCGGGGTGGGGAGGCAGACAAGGGTCCCCACGGAGACAGCAGGGCTGCGGGCACTTGGGGCCCAGGGAAGGACACTGGACGGCAACTGCTTCCGCTGGATGTGCTCAGAGTGCAGCCCTAGGGGAGGTCTCCAGGGCTGGCACCTGTGGCCAGGTGCTCCTTGTTACTGCCTCACTCCTGTACCCTAGGGCACACTCCACCCCGTTCTGCTGAAGCAGTCGATAGGTGCCTGGCCAGGCCTCCTTATCACTGAAGATGATTGTTTTAAAACCTGAGCACTTAAAAATGACCAACATTACAAGTAAAATCCATTGACTTCAAATCTGTCCCATTCACTGGCCCTCAATAAAAACTAGCATCAATTAAATCAATTACTCTTTTTTTTTCTCCAGGGGGCTGAAATCTGTATTAAGTACCTATTCTCAGTACAAAAAAGGGTATTAACATCACAATGGAAATCTTGTTTGGAATTATTTCATGTTATTTCTATTATGAAATCACATTTTTCTTCCAATAGATTATATGATTTGCATTTAGTGATTTTATTAATTCAAAGTAAAAGGTTCTGATACAAACAGTGAACTTAACTCATACGGGCTATTTTTCACTGAATCCAAAGTATGCTTGGCTTATGTTATGTTGCCCAAAAATCATCTAAGAGAAACATTCTGTCTTTATCGCAGCCTCCCAAGCAATTGCACATGGATTCACTGAGAGAAAGCAGCGTATTAGGAAGTGCTTCAAAACAGAAAACTACAACAGAGCAGACTAATCATTTACAAAGAAATGCTTAATCGTTAAGTCCCCAGGAACTCTGAAAAGAAAATTTCCAGATCTGTTTTCTCAGCCAGACACGTTATGGAAGAAGTACTCGGAACAACTTCGTTCAAGACCTGTGAACACTCCGGATGCCCGGAGAGGCGGGTTAGATCGAGCCACAGGAAACTGCCAGTCAAGTACTACATTTATGGCAATTTCCTAGGGCTCAATATAATAATTACCTTGTCAAACACAAAAACAGGAGCACTTGACGAAAAAGAATTCCAGCATTTGGAATTTCCCTAATAATAACGCTCACCCCAAAGACCTGTTGCTGACCACTAAAGCAGCCTAGTGATGAAGAGATTCATTTCACCAGAAGCCTTCTCTCTAGAACCACCCAGAGCTCTCAGAGAAGCTACTCGAGGGAAGAAAGCAAACACTCGTGATGTCAATACGGCACTTGTGCGCAGCCCCCCTGCCCCGTTAGGGAATTCAACATTTCCCTAAGGAAGAGGCGTCAATGCAAAATGCCTGCACCCCAGAGCGGCACATCAGGATCAGCCTGAGCGAAGCAGCAGCTTTCCGGGAGGAAAATTAAAATAATGATCCTGAGGGGAGAGAGAGAGAGAGAGAGAGAGAGAGGGAGGGAGGGAGAGAGAGAGAGAGAGGCAGACAGACAGACAGACAATCTGAAGCCAAAGCATCTCGACTCCCCTTCCCCAGAGCCTCAGTCTGGTCCCGCTCGTCTTTCAAAGCAAAGCTTTGAAGAACACGGTGCGATGCACTCCAACCATCCCCTCTACACTCTGTTGCTCCCGTCTCCTCTCTATTCCAGGGCCGTTTGGAGAAACCCATCAACACCAGCGCTCTGCAGTGTGGGCAGTGACAGGGCCTCTGCCCCGAGCTGCCCAGGTTAGCACCATGCATGCTGCTGCTGCTGCTCACAGCTTCTGGGTGGCTGAGTTGGCTGTGCAGAGATGAGCATTTCAAAGCTCCAGGGAGTTCTGTTCTTAGGGCACTGGATCTCTGAGCACGAATCCTCCAAAGCCTCAGGAAATGACTGACTTTGCCCCTATTGTGAATTAGCAAATGCTTCTTAGAGCCGGGAGATTACGAGACACCCATCATCCCAAGTCTTCTGACGGATCCCTCTTTAAAATGTATTCTGCACTTGCTTGCCTTTTTAAATTGTTAAATGGTAGTAGATGGCCAGGGACTTAAAAGTCTCAGGATGGTAGACAAGTGTGAATTAGAATCAAATCATCCTAGCTGTGCAATTCTAAGGATATTACTTAATATCTCACAGCCTCGGGTTTCTACACTGCTAAGCACGCACTGCTAGTGTTGAGAGGCCAATGTGGAGTCACGTATCCAAAGTAGAAACCAGGACCAAGAACCTAATTTCCCAGCAAATGTTACTCTGGTTCCTTCTCCCCTAACCCGACCCAACTGCTGTGTGTGCCTACTAAATTAACACCTTGACAGTAGGGACTCCAATTTAGAGCACCCAAGACTATCTTGAAAAAGAACCCCCATCAGGAGACTATGGTCTGAGACTAAGTGTGGTCTAAATTTGAACAGCAACAGTGCACTGCATCCCACTCAGCAGAACATAGAAACTCATAGCACGACTGCTCCAGCTTAAAACACACAGGCTGCACCTGGATTAATGTCAAGATTTTAACTGATATTGGTTTCCCATAGGCCTTAGGTCAGCTTGACCCTGGCAAAAATGTATTTCTCTTCCACTCCTTATGGTTTTTGCCATTTTTGCTTTGAGGTAGAGAGTTCTTTAGGGCATGAGTCTGCTCTCCACCACCGGCAATAAAGGACCATGCAATTTTATCAACGTGTTTTGCTCCTCTGTTTGCACTCATTCAGGCACAACATTACCCAGTCCCCAACCCAGAGCAACTGTGAAGCTGTCCCAGCCAACTGCTGCCCAAATACTTGAGATGGGAGAAGTTTCTCTAAGCCCCTCCATTGCACCCACTTCCCCAGACCTTCCTCCACGTCTCTGGTTTCTGATGTACCATCTCAGGGTCTCCAGCAGTGTGTTCCTCATGCAGTCCCCGTTTTTCCAATTCACTTATACAACATAAAGGATTTGGGCTGGGTAAAAACAAAAACAACAACAAACTCTGTATCCACAACCCTTAAGTACCTAGAAAATCTAACGTCTCTCATAACCCTAAGTTCAGAGGTGTGGGAGATGGAGGCATTGGGTTGCCCCAGGCTCCTCCTCCCTCCTCTTAAAGCCCGGTACAGCACAGACTTCACACCTCCACCCTGTCCTACCTTGGCCCCAGGAAGGTTTTCCAAAGCTATCCCAGCTGCAGTCTTCTTGTCACGTCCAAAAACAGGGAGAAACTTTCCTGGTCATATATAAGAGCGTCAGTTGAGACTGATTGGCTTCAGTTAGGTCACATGGATAGACTTTACTAAGGAAAGTCACCTGGGAAATGCAACGACTGACTTCAATTAGGATTATTGAAAAGATACAGCAACCAGAATGGAATGAGCATGATTGGATCGAGCTGATCCAGTTCTGTTCCCGGGTTGGGGATTCTGTTGGAGTTACCGGAGCTCTCTGGGAAAGGACAGACACCTGGCCACAGGTGGGCTGCCCAACAGCATGTGAGCCAGACCAGCAGCCAAGGCCTGCTGCACGACAGCTGTGCGGGAGAGGCCGCCTTAGCCTGGCTCAGCCTCAAAAGCATCTCTTCACAGGGAAACAGGGATGATCCAAAACTGCTCAACTCATCAGAGTTTCACTCCATGAAAAGCCTTTCTCTCTGCAGTCACCCGTCCATTGATCCGAGAACATCAGTCTTGCACAACAAGGGCTGCACCCAGGGCAGAACTGGAGGTTCTGTGGTTCTAGACCAGGTGTATTCTGGTGTGTTCTAGAACGTGAGGTTGTGTTTCTGCTTACACCGACAGCTCCTACTGAGAAAGCACAGGGTCCTCTCGGTCCCCACAGCTTCACTCCACGTATCAGTAGCAAAGAGGTCTGAGCATAAGCTTTTACCAGAAATCATGATATAGGGAAGAAGACGATAGAAAAGTAAAGCAGAACCACTTTCCACCCTACGTAAAAAGTCCTTCTGGGACTTGGGAGAACAGAGAGAAAGAAGGAAGTGAAATGTCAAGTGGTTTGCCTGGCTTCTCACACCCACTGCCATATTCCAAGTTTAAAATCCTGCGTGATGAAAACTCTGGAGCAAATTCCCAAGCAGTTTATGTCTTACAAGAATAACTTACAAAACCTTTGAATGCCTTAGGAAAGGCTCACAACAAAACAGAAAAGCAGCCCAGCCGTGAAGTAGATACTGCCGTAGGACATAATTAAGCAAAGGGGACTTGAGAAATGGCATTTACATCACAACTTGAGGTCTGGTTGTTCCCGCACACTCTGAACAAAGAGTGGCCAAGAGCTCCCCAGGGGACAGACAGCGGACGGCGCGGGAAGGGTGAGAAGGGAGAGTAGGCATTCAAGGACAAGGTGAAGGACAGCAGGCCACCGGGCAGGACGTCCAGGACAACAGTAAAACCGGAGCCGGCCAGGCCTCAGACTAACTCTCCCCAGCACCACCTCCCAGTGAGGATCCAGCCCACCAGAGGCAAGGTAACGGCAGTGGTGACACAGCTGAGAGCTGGAGGCAGGAGTGAGTGTGCGGGTTCAAACCGGTCAGGAAAGTCGAAAAACTCACCTGTGTTTACCCTGCTCCAGCATTCTAGAAATCTGCACATGGCTGGGCCACACCTGCGTCTACACCCTCATGCTGACGGCTCACCCTCTCACACACCCGGTCCCCCCACACTGGTCCCCTTTCTCTCTCCAACTTACCCCTGAATGGAACACTCACCCAACCGCGGTGCGGCTGCCTTCTTCCACTGTCCAGGATTCAGTTTCTGGTAGGTTCGGGTGTTTTGTTTGTTTGTTTGTTTGTTTTTTGACAGGCAGAGTGGACAGCGAGAGAGAGAGAGAGAGACAGAGAGAAAGGTCTTCCTTTGCCATTGGTTCACCCTCCAATGGCTGCCATGGCCGGCGCCCTGCAGCCTGCGCGCACCGCTCTGATCCGAAGGCAGGAGCCAGGTGCTTCTCCTGGTCTCCCATGGGGTGCAGGGCCCAAGCACTTGGGCCATCCTCCACTGCACTCCTGGGCCACAACAGAGAGCTGGCCTGGAAGAGGGGCAACTGGGACAGAATCCGGCGCCCTGACCGGGACTAGAACCCAGTGTGCCGGCACCACAAGGCGGAGAATTAGCCTAGAGAGCCGCGGCGCTGGCCTATGTTCGGGTGTTTTTGTTTGTTTTGTTTTTTCTTTTTTTGTAAGGATGCATTTCAAGACAAGCCATCATGCTTGATGGTGAAATATTGGAGGAAATCCCATTAACATTCAGGAAGAATAACGATGCCCTCTATCACTGTTTTTATTTCACTTTTTTCTAAAAGGATTAGCCAATGCAATTGCCAAGAGAAATAAAACATAAATATTGACAAGATACAGTCGAGATTGTGATAAGCACTTGATATAATTATACATTTAGAAAACCCAGGAAAATTGACAGAAACACTATCAGACTGATAGAATCACGTTCAGCGGCTGGATTATAGAACAAAAGCGTGCGCAGACCGCATACAAGTGGGAACTGAGCAGAGCGTATGGGGAGTTCTCGGTTAAGATTACAGATTGAATAAACACCTTATTTTGATCGCTCCTAAACTCCATCAGAACTATAACAAAGGGAATTTTTTAAGGGCCTAAACTCAACATCAAATACGTAACACAGAAGAAAACACCGATGTGAGTGTGAAAGCCGTAACGCAGATGGACAAATGATAACCTAAATATAGGATCAAGGGGCAAAACGGAGAGCTCACCCACCTTACACAGCAGAATCCGAAAAAGGTACAGAATACAGAGCAGTTCCCTTCCAGTCAGATCTCTGCTGAACCTGGTGGTTCACTGTGTCTAATTTTTTATTGATTGATTGATCTGAGAGGTAGGGGAAAGAGAGAGGGGAAATAAACGACCTCCCATCCACTGGTTCACATTCCAAGTTCCCTCAATGGCTGGGGCTGGGCTAAGGCCAAAGCCGGGAGCCAGGATTCTGACCAGGTCTCCCATGTAAGCGGAAGGAACACAAACACTTGAGCCATCATCACAACCCTTGGGGTCTGCACCAGCAGGAAACTGGAGACAGGAGCTGCAGCCAGGAATCAAAGCCAGGTTCTCCATGTAGGGCCTGGACTGGCATCCTAACTGCTGGGCTAACTGCCTGCCCTGGGGGAGGTGTGGCTGTTCTGCAGTCCAGTGATATATAATTTACATAGCATAAAGGTCACCTGATTAATATACAATTCAATTGCTTTTCCGTATATTCAGAGTTGTGTAGCCATCACCACGGTCTTAATGTAGAACACTGTCATAATTGTGGGTCTCGGTTTAAATGACACCTCCCTCCAGATGCCCTCTCACTACTAGTTTTTATTTCCTGCTTTTTCCTTCCAGCAATGACAACTTCCATTGAGTTACTTCTCTTCATTATCACCTTCTGCTTTTGTTGCCTGCCTCTCCCACTGGAATGTGACCTCCATAAAGGAAGATCACATCTTTCTTGATCTTCCTTGCAATCCAGCTGATAGCCCAGAACAGAACCCAGCATCCGATACAGGACCACAGAAACCACTTGCTTAGTGAATGAATGATGACAGACGCTGGGCTCTCGGGACCACTGAGGAACCAGCAGATGAGAGCAGTGCCTGATGGCACCCAGGAGCAGCTGCAAGCGGGAGGGTGCTGACAAGTGCCCAGCTCTTCCCCAGGTGTTCCCAAGAGGAACCAACCCCGAGCAGACGGGGAGAGAGCAGGTGGCGGCAGGGAGACCTCAAGAAACAGCACTGCTGATGTGACCCAGGGGGTGGCTCTCAGGCCACCAACTATAAAATGAAACAGATATGATCACAAATGCGGCTTTCACTGGATGACCTCCCTGTTGGTTCCATTAACAGGAAAATGCACAAACAAATGTTCCCTTCCGCATCACCGCCATAGCTGGGGCTGCAGCTTAAATGCAGGGTGGTTTACAGCATGCTGCACGGTGCCCGAGCTAGAAAGCCTCAATTCTGCCATTTTCCAGTTGTGCAACTCCAGGCAAGTTACTTGCTGCTTTGTCTTTGATTTGTACCTTTATAAAACAGGTGTAAGGATTATTCCTGTATCATAAGAGCTGTTGCATTAGATTACAAATTATCAGAACAGTGCCCGTCACATACTGAGTGCCCTAGGTTAGCCGGTAGCTGTAGAAGCAGTGGTGCTAGTGGTTGGAGGACCGGTGGGCAGTGGTGGGCACTAGTATGGCGATAAAAGCCCAGTTCATCCTGATTGTTGTACAGGACACAGAAGGGAGATGGGGCTCAGTGTTGAGTCCTGTCAAATATAAACTGCTAAATGAATATTGAATTGACTTGCACTCACAATGTTTCCTATCACGTCCTTTGAGATGATGTGACAGAATTGATTCTTCTTCCAAAACTGCCGAATCAGCACATGTGTAGTTCTTGTCACTGGCAAGCTGACACCAAACGGCTCATCTCAAGCCCGGCTCCTGGCAAGTGTCAGGAGGAAGCCGAAGTCCTTATTAAATGACTGTGTCAGTGCGTGTGGAAGGAGTGATGCTCATTAGAATGTGGCTCTGTTGCAAGCAACACATGCATTCGTTCAGGAAAGAAGGTGAAAACAGCAGACCATTCGGGAAAAATAAGACCTAGTACTCACGAACCAAGAAGTGTTTCTGTAGAGGAGAGTTACTGTTCTGCCTTTATTAACACAACTGTCAATGCTTCCTCTTCAAAGAAGAGACCATCATTTGGCATCTTTGCTGACTTTCAATTGATTCATCCAGGGGCTTTCTGTATTATCCACTGGAAGTGGGAAGTAGTGAGGAGAAGTGTTCTTTTCTCATGGTCAACATCAGACCTGGCTGCAGAATCAGGCTTGGCCTCCAGGTCCAAAGGCAGGACGTGAGACCAGTTATTGAATTATCCAAGAAGAACTGGGAGAAAGTGCTACAAAAGAAAAGGTATTCAGCATAAACAAGAGTAAGTGAACTGTCTTCAACTCTGAAAAGAATGTGCTATTTTCAAAAACAGCCTAAAGGATTATTTCCCATCTATGAAATAAAACACACATCTGCTGAGCATTCTGCCATATGCTAAGTAGAATAAGCTGCACACCCAAGGCAAGCTTAGAACAGGACTCACAACTCACGCTGAGAGAAGACAAGTAGTGAAGAAGAAATGCTGCCCACCTCATGCTGTACGGCGTCTGACTCCTCCACTTGCAGCTCTTTCTAAAATCAAAACAAAAACTCTGACAGGCAGAGAAGACAGAGTGTGCTCCAGATCACTTCTGTGCCCACTTCTGAGTGACAGTCACAAAGAAAGAGTATTTTGGGGGTTCAACACATACAAATTAAGTCCCATTATGTATAAGCATAGTTCTAGGAGCAACAACTAATTACATTAAGTTCATTTTTTATTTTTTTAAACTTTTATTTAATAAATATAAATTTCCAAAGTACAACTGTAGAATTATAGCTTTTTGAATTATAGGCTTTTCTTCTCATAACTTCCCTCCCACCTGCAACCATCCCATCTCCCACTCCCTCTCCATCCCATTCTTCATCAAGATTTATTGTCAATTATATTTATATACAGAAGATCAACTTAGCATATACTAAGTAAAGATTTCAACAGTTTGCACCCACACAGACACACAAAATATAGAGTACTGTTTGAGTAGTAGTTTTACCGTTAATTCACATAGTACAACACATTAAAGACAAAGATCCTACATGGGGAGTAGGTGCACAGTGACTCCCCATTGTTGATTTAACAATTGACACTCTTATTTATGATGTCAGTAATCATCCGAGGCTCTTCTCATGAGCTGCCAAGGCTATGGAAGCCTATTGTGTTCACCGACTCTGATCTTATTTAGACAAGGTCATAGTCAAAGTGGAAGTTCTCTCCTCCCTTCAGAAAAAGGTACCTCCTTCTTTGATGGCCCGTTCTTTCCACTGGGATCTCACTCAGAGATCTTTCATTTAGGTCATTTTTTTTACCACAGCATCTTGGCTTTCCATGCCTGAAATGCTCTCATGGGCTTTTTAGCCAGATCCGAATGCATTAAGGGCTGATTCTGAGGCCAGAGTGTGGTTTAGGGCATTTGCCATTCTATGAGTCTGCTGTGTATCCTGCTTCCCGTGTAGAATCTTTCTCTCCTTTTGAATTCTATCAATTATTATTTGCAGACACTGGTCTTGTTTATGTAATCCCTTTGGCACTTAATCCTATCTTTTTGATCAACTAGGTTAGGGTTAGGGTTAGAGTTAGGGTTAGGGTTAGGGCTGTTAAACTTTAACAAGTAAGATGGTATTGATACATGCCACCTTGATGGGATTGAACTGGAATCCCCTGGCACATTTCTAACTACCATTAGGGGTAAGTCCGAGTGAGCATGTGCTGAACTGTACATCTCCTCCCTCTCTTATTCCCACTCTCATATTTAACAGGCATCACTTTTCAGTTAAATTTAAACACCTAAGAATAATTGTGTGTTAATTAAAGAATTCAACAAATGGTTTAAATAGAACAAAAAAATACTAAAAGGAATAAAATAGTAAGTTGTTCCTCGACACTCAGGGCAAGGTCTAATCACGTCATTGTTTCTCATAGTGTCCATTTCACTTCAACAGGTTTCCTTTTAGGTGCTCAGTCAGTTGTCACCGATCAAGGAAAACATATGATATTTGTCCTTTGGGACTGGCTTATTTCACTCAGCATGATGTTTTCCATATTCCTCCATTTTGTTGCAAATGAACCAGATTTCATTTTTTACTGCCGTATAGTATTCTATAGAGTACATATCCCATAATTTCTTTATCCAGTCTTCTGTTGATGGGCATTTATGTTGATTGCATGTATTAGCTATTGTGAATTGAGCTGCAATAAACATGGAGGTGCAGACAGCCCTTTTATTTGCCAATTTAATTTCCTTTGAGTAAATTCCCAGGAGTGGGATGGCTGGGTTGTATGGTAGGCCTATATTAGTTCCTTTTTTAATGAAATGCAGATATATTTATGTTTTGGGTAGTTCTTCACTAATTAATCAGTGGTTGAATGTCCCATTATAGTATGCCCAGGCTTCAATTTGTAAAGGTGACTGAGTGATGACACTGATGTCTTTTTTATGTTTTAAAAGATTTATTTATTTATTTGAGAGGCAGAGTACAGACAGAGAGAGGGAGAAACAGAGAAAGAGAGAGAGAGCTCTTCCATCCTCTGGTTCACTCCCCAAATGGCCACAATGGCCAAAGCTGGGCCAACCTGAAGCCAGGAGCCAAGACCTACTTCTAGGTCCATCAGGTGGGTCTGAGCACTTGGGCCATCTTCCACTGCCTTCCCAGGCCATTAGCAGAGAGCTGGAATGGAAGAGGAACAGCTGGTACACGAACTAGTGCCCATATGGGATCCTGGCGTTGTAAGCAGAGGCAAATTAAACTACTATGCCACAGTGCCAGCCCTGAGACTGATGCCATCTACAGGCTTCTGATACCCAATTTCCCTGGAATCAAGATGTATACCATGCCACACAGCATCACATGGGAAAGATCCCAAGGTGGGCAGGAGGAGACAGCCCCTGTCCTCGTGGGGTCTCCCTGGGAAAGATGAGGCAAGGTAGGGTGACCAGTGAAGACTGGCTGGAATGAATAGTTTCAGTAGGGTCTGGGCTTTTATAGGGCAGCCCCTAATTTCCTGGCACTTGACCCTGGGATACTTACAACAGAGGATCATTGCATCCAGAGGGTCTGAGTCTGGGTTGGTTAGTTCATGGATCAACGATGTGCTCATGGCCGGGCCCTTTGCTCTTATCTTTAAGGAATGGTGGGCCAGCATTGTGGCATAGGAGGTAAACCCACCGCCTGCGATGCTGGCATCCCATAATAGCACTGGTTCATGTCCCAACTGCTCCACTTCTGATTGACCTCCCTGCTAATGGCCTTGGAAAACAGTGCAAGATGGCCCAATTTCTTGGGCCTCTGTACCCATGTGAGAAACCTGGAAGAAGCTCCTGGCTCCTGGCCTCAGCTTAGCCCACCCTAACTGTTGCAGCCATCTGGAGAGTGAACCAGTGGATAGAAGATCTTTCTCTTTCTCTCTCCCTCTCTCTGTAACTCTTTCAAATAAATTTTCAAAAATCTTTAAAAAAAACACACACACAAAGAATTGGCAAGCCATCTTTGAATTGGATGCAGTGTCTACTTAGCCAGAAAAGGTCTTAAAGATGTCAAAACATCGTAACAAACAAAAGTATAAAAAAATTTCCTCAAAATAAAAAATACAAATAGCCAAAAAATATATGAAAAAAATTTGCCCATCACTAGCCATCAAAGGAAATGCAAATCAAAACCACAATGAGGTATCAATTCACCCCAGTCAGAATTGCTAAAATCCAAAACACAGAGTAACAAATGCTGGGGAGGATGTGGACAAAGGGAAACATATACACTGTTGGTGGGCTTGCAAATTAGTGCAGCCACTGTGGAAAACAGCATGGTGATTTCTTAAAAAACTAGAAACAGACTCGCCATATGATCCAGCAATCCCACTATTGGGTATGTACCCAAAACATTTGAACACAATGTAGCAAAGAGACACCTGTACCACCATGTTTATTACAGCACTGTTCACAAGAACTAAAACTTGGGAATCAGCCTAAGTGCCCATCATCAGATGAATGGGTAAAGCAAATGTGGTATATATACACAATGGAATATTATTCAGCTATAAAAGAGAATTCTACCATTTGCAGCAAAATGGACACACCTGGAGGACAGCATGTTGAGTGAAATAAACCGGACCAGAAAGACAAATACCATGTGTTCTCTCTTGTATGGGGGAGCCAAAATTTTAAAAACCAACAAAAAAGAAGAAAGAAATGTCTGTGTGCATTAGCCTTGCTGAAATACAGTTTTGTAAAACTTTGCACTATACCTTTTTGAAACTAATGGTTAAGAATGTTATACTGGCCGGTGCAGTGGCTCACTAGGCTAATCCTCTGCCTGCAGCACTGGCACCCCGGGTTCTAGTCCCGGTCAGGGCGCCAGACTCTGTCCCGGTTGCTCCTCTTCCGGTCCAGCTCTCTGCTGTGGCCCGGGAAGGCAGTGGAGGATGGCCCTGGTCCTTGAGCCCTGCACCCGCATGGGAAACTAGGAGGAAGCACCTGGCTCCTGGCTTTGGATCGGCGCAGCGCCGGCTGTAGCGGCCATTTGGGGGGTGAACCAATGGAAGGAAGACCTTTCTCTCTCTCTCACTAACTCTGCCTGTCAAAAAAAAAAAAAAAAAGAATGTTATACTACTATAGTTTTAATGATCTGTGATGACTTTAAAATTTACTGTTTATGGGTGAGATGGTCATTTGCCATCAATCATTATTTATAGCCATTGTATAGATTCCTGTAAATTAGAGACTTTTTGCCTTTTACTAGCTAAACTTCTTATTCAGTGAAGTAGTAAGCCTTTTTACTGTAATGTAAGTTTAAAATATGTTATCTCAAAAACTAATAAAGAGATGGAAAGAAAGGAAGGAAGAGTGTTGGAGGGAGAGAGGAAGGGCGGGGGAGAGGAAGGGAATATCATTATGTTCTTAGAATTTTATCTACAAAGCACACTGAATCTTTTAAAAAACTAATTACAAATTAAAATTTTGAATTTTAATATGGGCCTAATGCTTCATGTTGTACCCAGTGTCTTAATAATCATGGCAACTTGGTTTCTTTCATCCCAATACCTTCACATAGAAATAAAAATATGCATCTGCATTTTGCAGCAATGGAAATATTATGGGTGGGAAATGAATATCAGTTTCTGACCTAACAATCCTGAAGAGACAAAAAGCCCAAAAGCTTCCACAAGAGCTAATGGGCCATGTCAGGAACAGCTGCAAGTGAGGGTAAAAGACAAAGGAGAAACGTCTTCTGAAGGAACGCAACACGAAGGACCTGGAAATTGGCTTTGGGGATGCAGTCGGTGCCAAGAAAGCACAGGCACCCTTGCGTGATTAAATTCTGCTATTACTTCCAAAATAGACCGGAGGATTTCAGAGTTCACAGGGGACTTTAAAAGGAGGTTGGACCGTATGGCACCATACGGGAAGGGCAGGGCAGAATGATCACGGTTCTGAAAGCCAAAACCTAGTTTACATTCAGTCTCCACCACTTCATAGCTGTGTGACATCACATCAATGTCAGTTTCCTGATCTTTTAAATGGGAACAATGATAGAATTTAACAGGTAACCTACAGAGTGGTTGTTATCACAAAATGACATAACCGTGTAGAGCACCAAGGATCGTGCTTGGCATACATGTTCCAGTGGTAACAAAACAAGAGTCAACAGCTAAAGAAACAGTAGGATGTTCAGGAAGTGCTCACCGTGGGCAAGCAGAAAAATCAGCGCTGGTGCTAGTGGGAGCCAGGGCCGAGGCAGGAGAAACGGTAGATGAGAGGGGAAAGAAAACAGGTGCCAAACAATGAGAGCTCTCTTGGCAATGATAACAGCTTTGGAGAAATCAAGCGTGGGGGACCCAGTTAGCAACCTAAAAACTCATCTTGGTACTATCGTATGAGGGGTAGTGTGGGGAGCAACCCGGACTAGACTGAGTTACTGGAATTAAGACTTATTCTATGCATCTGCTCTCCCACAATATGGCGCTGGGAGAGGAGGAAACAGCTTCTACACAGCTGCCTCCAGTTCAACCAATAAACTGTAGGACCTACTCCTGATTAGAGGAGAGCAGCGTACTCGGCGTGTGGGCAGCCGAGTTAGGATTGGCGGAGGAGGACTATAAAGGAGGAGAGAAAGCCGGCGCCGTGGCTCACTAGGCTAATCCTCTGCCTTGTGGCGCCGGCACACCGGGTTCTAGTCCCGGTTGGGGCGCCGGATTCTGTCCTGGTTGCCCCTCTTCCAGGCCAGCTCTCTGCTGTGGCCAGGGAGTGCAGTGGAGGATGGCCCAGGTGCTTGGGCCCTGCACCCCATGGGAGACCAGGAAAAGCACCTGGCTCCTGGCTCCTGCCATCGGATCAGCGCGGTGCGCCGAGGAGAAAACAGCTTCTACGCAGCTGCCTCCAGTTCAACCAATAAACTGTAGGACCTACTCCTGATTAGAGGAGAGCAGCGTACTCGGCGTGTGGGCAGCCGAGTTAGGATTGGCGGAGGAGGACTATAAAGGAGGAGAGAGACGGCATTCACCAGGAACATCTACGGGGAACATCTACGGGGAACACCTGTGCAGCCCCCGAGAGAGCTGGCCGGCGGTGTGCCGCTCCCCTGCGGAAGTGGGGAATGTGGCAGGGGGAACCGCCCTTCCACGGAGGTGGAAGGACCAGCAGCCAACCCGGGAAGAACCAGCAGCAAACCCGGGGAGGGCCGAGCAGACGAAAGAACAGCGCAGGGTCCTGTGTCGTTCCTCCACGAAGAGGGGGAGCGACAGGGTAGACCGTGTGGAACGAAGAATGAGTGAGACAGCCCGGCTGGGGAGTATTGAGTTGACTCGTAAGAAACACTAAGTTGGACTGGGGTTGGCTAAATGGATGTGATAAGAGTGATTGGTTTCAGGATATCTTTTGACATTGGACTGGCAGGTGTTGTTGAATGTGGCATGTAGCAGAGTGATGACTCCAGAATAATGATGCATGTTGCTGTCATATGAGAAGGGGTTGATGGAGGAGTGAGGAAAAAAAAGGATTGAAGGTACAAATTAAGAGTTCTGGTTGGGACTTAGTGTTGAAAGACATGGCAGAGGTCTAAGTGGAGGGGTAGAGGCAGTGAGTGTGGAGTTCCGAGGAGAGGTAGGGGATAGATAAGTATGTGGGAATCTTGAAGAAGAAATGGCTGAGAACCCCGAGGGAGTGAATGCAGCTGGAGAGGAAGGAGACCTGAGGTTGCACTTGGAGGCACCTCCCCATCTGCAGGTAAGGAGCAATGACGGCAGGGGGCGCTGTGCTTCCCAGAGGAGTGGTTTAACTGGCAGTTAAACCACTTCCCACAGGCCAAGTGCACAAATTCTTCCCAAAGGAAGGAAGGGAGCGGGGGGGGGGGTGGGGAGAGGGACCTGGCAGAAGCCAAGGGCTCCACCGGCTCACTTTGCCTGCCACGGAGGTGACAGGAGTCACCCCGTTCACAAGAAAGAAGCCGACTGTGTGAGTCTAGTCACAGCCCCGTCGCTGGATTCCGTCCTAACAAAACGGTTCTATTCAGTGGAATGAGCAGCAAGGGCAACCGGGAAGTGTTGGGGGATTCAAGGTGTGAAATCATAAATAAGATGCAACGGGATGGCTGAGCAGCGCTGAGAGGCCGCTTGAGGTCTGTGGTCACCAATTTGCACGAGACTGGCCAGTATTCAAGCGTGGTTTTCTCCTACCATGTTTGCAGGCTCAGGTTCAGCTGCACAGCTAACCCAGAGGCAGAGTTGGATCTGAAGAGGAACACGTGTGTCCTGGACATCGCTAGTGGCCACCAGGCAACTCCAAGGGGCCAAGCTTGCTCGCCCAGTGTCAGGACCAAAGAAACAAGACGCACCTGGTGAGAAAGAGAAACAACCTCTGCCCTGGATCAAACCATTCCTGAAATCGCACCTGCTGGACCTGGTTACAGGACTAACACATTCCCTTTCTTATTTGCCAATTAAAATTAATAACTTTTGATATTCATTTTTCTGTTATATATTATTTATTAAAACTATTTCAGATTTTTCTGTTACCAGCCTGGAAGGCACCCGAGAGATCAGTGGTCTCTGAAGCACAGCAGTGCAGATGGCACTGTACCGACCAGTCAGCTTCGTTCACATTGCCACTGTCTACCTCTACCTCCCCCTTAGAGCGCTTAGTTTAGGAGACTCACTCCCCACTGTAAATGGTTTCTCAGTCCCCTGGAGATGCAAATCGTTTTATGCTGATTTGAAACCCAGGAATGCCTTCCTCTGGTTGCTGGGAGCCATCGCTCTGATAGGGAACCACAGAAGGTGACGGCACCCCCACATGGCCTGTTCTCAGAGGAAGATAGGAGCCTAACTCCACAATAAGCAAACACAGAGGGCCCAATCAGGCTCACTAACCTCCCCCTCATGTCCTCTAGTCCTTTCCCATAGCTCATCCCAGAGCTACAAGTTCTTCCTGCTTTTGTTACAGAGGAGTTGGGTTCAGTTCCCCTACTCTATTGCAACAGCCTGGAAAAACCTCCCTTGCCTGTTTAAGTGTAGAAGGTGCAACTTTTGCTCATTTCTCAGGCTTCCCCTTCTCTACCCTCTGCTTAGAAAACAAGGCGACTTGAAATACTCAAACTCCCCTAATGCAGTGCTATGTCAGTGCACCCTTCATCTGACACCTCCATGAGAGGCAGTCTCAGCTTGTCCCCACCAGGTGAGCAGTCTCAGTCCCCC